GTGTTACTAGGATACAGCCAGATGAAATGCCTGCTCTCGAACACTGAAAATGTTCAAGAGCAGGACTCGCTCTTGAACAAAACTGAGTAGCCCAAACAGCAAAATTTCAAAATAGCACCAAAAATACGACATTCAATTCTCATATTCAATTTTAATGTAAGTTAGATGTTGAGGCACACTGTATCGGTTTATGGGATAAAACTAAGTGCAATCTTAAATTTCATGGTTTGGTGCCTCTCATAACACCTCATGTCTGCCCTGACTCTTAGCAGTGGCACCACGGAAGAAAGGATGATTTATCACTTGCTATTGGACAGAAGCAAATCTAAGAAAATGGTGAAAGTGCTTGTTCGCATCAGTCTCTTACACTGGCCAGTTCATTTTAGTATTCTTAAAGAGAAAATTTAGATGCAGTATTTTTAATTCAGCTTTGATGTTCCACAGGTTTTTAAGAAATTAGGTTAAAAATACAGGTTTTATCTGTTTGTATTAACTTCTGTTTGTATAAAGCTGTACATTAGAGACTGAGGTGAATCAAATCACCTTTTCTCTGGCAGGCTTATTTCCAAAAAGCTACTTCCTTTGATATCACAGAAGAGGGAGGCAACGAGAGCAAAGAAAGGGAAGGTCAAACATGCATTCTGTTAATAGGTACAAAGTAGAGTGGCACATGACTCATCAAATAGGCACTCTAGAGTTAGGTATTTCTTCCCCGTCACATTTACTTCCTTTAAGAGCTCCTAAGGGTTTCTGTAGTATTTTGTCCTTACAGTTTTAGGAAAAAAAAAAAGTAATGGGGCAAATAATTCATCTCCTGCTTTCATGATCTGCTCAGTAACCATAACAATACGGCCCAAACTTTGGTACCCAACAGACTGCGATGCAGAGTGGATGAGTGGATAAGGGGCAGCTACACTTTCATCTTCTGCCTGAGGAGGTAAAGCCTTGGGACTCCACCCTCCCTTTCAGAAAAACTGATCCTGTCATCATGAGTGCACAGAGCTTGGGAAGTCTTTAAAAGGGAATACATGAGCCCAAATCATACCTCCTATTGCCCAAACTTGCAAATTAGAACAACAGCTCAAACTGAAGTTTTCCTCTTCCTTGAGCATGCAAAGGCAAAAGAGTCAGACAGGGTACTGGTCACATCCCATTTCTCCCATCAACATTAAACTGCTTTGTTCCCACAAGCCTGAAAACCTCCTCCAGCAGCACTGATAGGAGGCTCAGCAATATTGGGAATGAAAAGTATACAGGGAAAAGAGGGGGCAACACCTTAATCTTGGAGGTTGGACAGGGCAGTTTAGGAAAATCTAAAATGCCACAATATAGACATTGAAAATAAAATGCAACCAAAAGCAACAGGCACTGGACTCCTGCTAAAAGTTAGGGCACTGATACCACAAATGAGATGATAGTGCTTTACTGTCAGTGATACTACAGTTATGCCATAAATCTTCTATTTCACTTATTCATTTAAATTTGTAAAAGATATCACATCATCTCTGTGCTCCTTGCATAAATGCACAGTGTAACAGTTTGGATATTTATATTTGGATTAAGAATGTTACAGTTTAATGTGTAACTGAAATGATTAATGTTTAAACAGCACATTTCTTCCAGTTGTCAAGTTATTATTAAAGGCAACTTGCAAATATCCCATGTAAAAATGACAACTTAAGAGCTGGTGCTCACAGATGACTCAAGTTTCTTTTCAAGCATTGAGGATTTTAAACTCACCTATTTTTTTGTGTCTTTGTATTCTCTCAAAGCAACCAGAGCTTTATATACTTTGTGCACGTTTTTCATAGGTTATGAAGAGATAACTGTGATATCACTCATATTGTCCACATTAAAGTATGTAGCTAAATAGGAATCATTCATCAAGGGACAAGATAAAGAAATTTTCCAAAGTTGGCATTTGGAACAGTGAGCACATCTTTCTTCACTTATACATATTTAAATACCAGGAGATGACCTTTAAAGCGAGATACATTCAATCTGTGGCACTCTTTCTCCATCTCACAGCTGTTAGGCTACTTCACATTCTCAGCAAAAGGGGAATTATCAAAGGAACCTGAGGAATGTAAGTGGAAGGTTATTGACGCATAATGTGTGGGGCCTCCCTCCCTCTTTGGCTCTACCTGCAGTATTTACACCTGCTCAGCGTGCAATGGCTACACCAAGCAGGGGAGAACCAGAAGCCTGTGACTGGAAGAAGCAAGAGTTGCATCTTTAAGTCAGATCTAAAAGTTTGCTATTGCTAAGTTCCATTAGCCCAAGAAATGAGATCAACCCTCACCACAAACTAGGAAGCAGTCAGATGTCCTTTCTTACAATCTTCAGATGCTTAAGATACGTAGCTACTGCAAAGGTAATCTCATCCCACTTCTGGGGAGCAAACCACTTGGTTAAAGTCAAGCATACCTTTAAGTGCTAAGCATGTGTGTAAATCTTACCAGAACTGGGATTCTGGTCCTCATTACACCTCATATGGTTAAGAAAAAACTAAATAATTTTTTAGTAATCTGAATAATTATTAGAAAAATAAAAACCAAAAGAAAAAACATCTAAAGAGCCACCAAAAAAGAAAGGTGGGAAAAGGAGGTAAGGACATATAAACTAATGATGTGACATTAAATAAATATAGACTTATTATTGGAGTGCATCATTGTCTGTGAGACACCAATTAGATAATGGCTTACACTGCACAACGATTTTGAGCGGTTAAGCAAAGCAGAAATCACAGAAATCATGGTAACCTTTGACTGAACATTTTACAAACTGTTGTTTTATGTAGGCACAAAATGCCAACCGGGTCATTAAAAAAAATTCTGAAACTTACCCTCTGGCACAATTATGATTGCAATGAACCACTTCCTTTTCACCTTTGGTGGCTACACAGGAGGCATAGCCCTTTCCCAAGTTTTAGCCCTTCAGCAGTTATGTTCTTTGTGGAAGCAAAATCAGATCTTTCTCAAGACTTACTACTCAAAGTCCTCTGTTTTAACAAAAAACAGAGAAGTCCCCCAAATAAAATAATTTTTACACAGATGTACAGAGGAACTTATAGAAAGAAATCAGATTGTAGGACTAGTGGCACCATCAGTTAAAATTGCCTGACACTGACTATTACATGGTCCTACTGTCAATGCTTTGTTTTTGTTTAATTGTTGGACTGAAATTTGATAAATATATGCCTTTCACAGGCTGGAGGGGGAGGGCAATCATCTAAAATGAATCTATTCCTGAAAATAAGCAAATAAACTGTTAAAAAAAAATCCAGTGAACTTTTCTTCGAAAAGCTGTTATTCTTCCAAGTTTTCTAGAGGAGATAACTTACATTTGAAAGTAGAGATGCCCTCTGTTCTGAAACAAACCTCTGTCAGCATAATTAAATTTCAATTTGGCTAAGTAACAGAGCTCTGGAAACGCATGCATCTTACACACTCACTAGAGAATTCTTGAAGTTAGACAAAGAATTCCACAAGCTGCCAAATCACTAATTCTAAAATCATTAATCAGCTGGGGTTGGAGTTGGGGATTGCCTAAGCAAGCTGTCCTGTGATGCTCAAGGATGCTCAACATTCAGGTCAGAAAGTACTGGAAATGAAAACAAGAAGGTTGTCCTTTCTGTGCCTCAGTGAAAGATAACCAGATGTTCCACTCTGATTTATCCCACTATCCAGATCTCTCTCAGACCTTCTTCGTACCAAACCTTTGTCTGGTAGCCAGAATGTTCCCCCTTTCAGCCCTAGGACTGTGTTCCTTAAAACACAGACACACATGAGCAGAAAAAAGACATCCTTTCTTCAGCTCGCCTCCCAGATCACACAACTCAAAAGAGAAGAACTGTTCCCAACTGCGGCATCAGGCCAGCAGAGGCACTTCATTCATTATGACTCAATGTTACAGGCATTCTCCATGAGTTCTGGTTTGTTGGACAGATTTCTTTGTCTTCCAGAAAAAAAAATCCAGTCACCTTACTTTAATGCCCTTACTAAAACACTTTTAATCTACCCAGTTAGACAGTGATTATAACATTACACAGCTAAATGATATTTTTTAGTCTGCATGTAATAAGAGGTACAGTTTTTAAGGATAAATGTGATGAAAACTAAGATTAAGTTTCACTGAAGCATCTATGCTATATAAGAATTTTAGGAACCAATTGAGTAGTCACCTTAACACCTCTAAAGGTCTTAAAGGGTAATACCATTTATTATGGTTGATAAATTGGATCCCACACAAGCTTGATTCAAGTTTGTCCTTCTTGTCAACTGATATGATAGCAAAAGCTAGAAAGATAATTCTCTTGCTTTAACTCCATTTCAAGTATATTAAGACTCAATTTCTCTGAAAATAAAATCTTGCTTTGTTTTGGTTTAAAGCTTTTTTATGGTACTTTTTCAGGGCAGAGAGCCATTTTGAGAAATGTATGACAAACCATTTTGCCATTTTAATAAAGGAAGATATTACTGATAGAGAAACAAGAAGAAATCAGAGTCTCCAGTAATCTTTACAGATGTAGACCATACCAGCAAAAGACGGTGTAACATGCTAGCGAAGCAATGAAAAGTTGCACTTGTTGAAGTTCTGGTCCGAGAATGTGCAAAATGAGGACCAGCAATGCTTTCCTTTATACTTACTCCCTCAGTAGAAGATGTATAAATTAATTATTTTAAGATGAGAATGACAGGAGGCCCTAATACTCCAAGGAGTTTTGGCTTAATGCATCCTGCTCTCATTACCATTACTTGGATAGTAGACAGACACACAAGTTGAAGCAAGTTGAAAGTCTTTAAAGGACTGCTGCTATGCTTTTCACATTTGGATAAAAGCTGGTGAAACCTGCAGATCCTCACATGATCTCATTAAGCATTTAGCCAGAAATGACCAACAGACAAAGACTCTAAAATCTCGACCAGAAATGTAAGATACATTCAGATCAACTTTTGATAAAAATACAATTTTAAAAACAGGGTTGCAATGGTACTTACCACATGGCAAAGAGTTATCCTCTTCTACTGTCTTATTATAGACCCAATCCTCCTTTCTCCAGCGTATAACACCACTATCTTTGCAGTCCTGAGATTGCTTTATATTTGCTTTATCCCACATTCTGAACATGTAGAGCTCCCCAGTCATACCCAGGTCAGGCGACACAGCTGCACCTGGCAGCTTTGAACAGCCAAGTAAGAATCGCCCTTTTCCAGGGAAACTAATTTTCCCAGTAAGTTTTTTGTTTAGTTTTTTTGTTCCATTTATGAATAACTTCATCTCCTCGTCTTCACTTTTCCACTGGATACATATTTCGTTCCAAGTGTTTTCATGAAGTCTTTCTGTTGTATTTATTTGATTTCCAAACAACCATATCCCCAATTTGCCATGATCTCCTGTAAGTCCAAGATCATACTTATTTGCAGAGAGATTGCTGTGAGATGTTTCTTGACTGTATACATATGCTGTCCAGGGACTATTTGAGGAATATAGCTTGAGGCGCACACAGACAATGAATTCTTTCAAGGGACGCAGAGAAATTCTTTGTGACATAATCCAAGGATCTTCACATGGAGTCTTAAAGACAGCTTTATACGGTCCTAGGAAATCCTCCTGATCTACATAAAGAAAAAGTGATATGTAAAATTATTTTGTTTTTTAAAGGATCATCTATATGAATGTTATTCTTCCACACAGCACTGTTCCAAAGCATTTACCTAGGGGGTTTCAACAACACACTAAGAAACAACGTTGTATCCTTCTCTTTTGCTTTTTTTGTGGTGGGGAAGCAGCAAATTTGGGAGTCAGTCACTAAATCCTAGCTGCTCATGAAAGCTTGGAAGTAAAACTCATGCACAAGTCAAAGGATGACCATGTAGCTCTCTAAGGGCAGCTCTTAAACGACACGTGGGAGGCAAAAAGAGAACAGATCCTGGTTCCTGTTCCCAGAACTGCACAAGTATTTTGCATTTAATAGACACTGGATAAACTACAGAACTGGAACTAGAAGAAGGAACTATAGCCCTTACTGCCTTCTCATGTTCCAGCCTTGCATGCTGCTTCTCCGAACAAGATTATGCTTCTCCATGCCATTTTTTTCCAGCCCTAAGATTCTTAAATCCTCTGCTGCACACTGGCAGAGTTTCAGCAAGAAAGGTAGAAAATAACCATATTCTAGAAGAGAATGAGTTTAAGCAATTTCAGGAAATGTGTTTTGGAGACACAGGTTTATTTTAGATTTAATCCCATCCAGCCCCCATTCCCTGTTCTCTACCAGGGCATTTACTTGCAGAGACATCTGCTCTGTGAATCTCAAAGCTACTAAGGCACTGAGATGACGGCAACCTGGAATTCCACTGTGACAGCAAATAGAATTTTAGGTGTTAACAGAAAATTGACTACACCAAACAAGGTATCAGGCTTTGTCAATGCTGCTAAAACAAGTAGTGCCAGGGAATGCCATGGAACTTGATCATAACTGTTAAGTTCTTGTAGGTACTTCATTTCCTCCACTGTCGCAGTAGAGGAAAGTACAGGTTTTTGTGGCTGTAGATATAAGCTCTTTAGAGCTGACCCTTATTTTGTGGAAAAATGCACATCCCAATCATGCAATCATTATCATGACTGCTTGCTTTATGGTGCACCCATCAGCAAGAAAATATATCCAAACTAAGAAAAACTCCTATGGGACATGAAATGGAACTACAGAAAAACGCAACAACCTGGTGGATGCTCAGCCAGTACAAGAGAACACAATACTGATCCTTTTAAAGAGGCATTTATTTATCAATATATGCAGAGCTTTTATGTACCCTCCAGAAGTATTATGTGATTGATCATGATCGGTCAGGGTTGGACAGCAGGAAAAGATTGGTCAATATAGGAAGAAAGCTTTTCCATTAGCTCCCCCATGAAAAGATAAATTTCTAGGCACCTTGGAAAGTAACAAGGTAGGTTACATTCATAGTTCTAGTTAGCTGTCAATGTCACAACCAGCTCTTCTGTGATCTTCTCAACCAACCAGAGCACCAGCTTTCATCGGGACAATTCTGAATCAGGAATGTGTTCATCTTTTCTGTCTCTGGACCACAGGGCTCTCAAATTTCTTTTTCAATAGCAACAAATTAAAAACAGGAAGACATTCCTAACTTCCAAGTGCAGCTTCATAGGTACAAGCTATCAGAAAAAGTTCAAAACACAAAATATATCAATCCAGTTTCATGGAAAGTCATTGATAACTATTCTTGTTGTATACTATACAGGTTGAATTAGGTGAAAACCCTAACTAGTAGACAGTGGTTTCTGAATAGCCAGGTAATACTTAGTATGGTTCTACAGCAAAGGAGAATAAAAATACAACTGACTCAACAGCAAGCAGTAGAACTACTTCCCCTCTGCCCAACCCTAAAGCATGAATTCACTCACCAAGTTTGGCCATTTGTCAGAGCCTAACAGGCAAAATCTGGTATACTCAGCTAAGAACAGTTCAGCACAGAAAACTAGTTTTCAAAACATGACTTAAAAGCTGGGGTGAGGAAGATTGGGTGGGAGGTGGAAGTGTCACAGAAGTGAAGATTTTTAGATACAGACTCAAATGTACCTACCCTTTTTAGTAAAAGGATTACTACAATTAAAATAGATCTTCTACCTTCCAGTTTGGACAGATCATAAGGAAACTGATTTTATAAAGGAAACAGCTAGCTAGATATACAGTTATATGCCAACACTTCTTGCAAAGTCTCTCCAAAGAAAAATAATTGCTCAAGTCTTTCATTATTATGCTGATGGTTTTGAAAGATTTGATGCAGCTACTGTTCCTCAGAGAGTATACATCAGAAGTATACTTGCACATTTCGTACACCCTCCAAAATTCCTGTAAGCAATCTTGGGTGTGCAGAGATGGCCAAAGTGACCAGTTAAGGAAGTCTCCTGACATAGCTTCAAAACTTGAAGTCACTGTTAACTATCTAGATTGGAAGACTGGAAGTCCATTCCTGAGCAAAAATATTAATCAAAACTTGAAGTACCATCAGCAGACTTGATTTTGGAAGTGAAAAAATTCTGAGAGTGTCTTGATTTCATGTTAAGCATTAAATCAGTGTTTATGTGCCAACAGTGAATTCATTAAAGGGCTGAAAAACCTATTACATTCTTTAGCGGAGCTGACACTATGAAGTTGTCAAGGGAGCCACAGTGGACATAAACTTGCAATTGGAAACGGTCTTAAGGCAGGTAACCAACAGAAATTATGCAAAATTAGATCAAACCTGCTGATGATTCTCCTAGTCTGCTCTGTATTATTCAAAAAGACTGTTGATGATAAATATGCAAGGCCTGAGGAATTAATTTAAACTTGTAAGAGTTTACTTAGAGAGGTCTACTCTTCTGGAAACTGGAAAGTGTGGCCCACTTTCCTTCAAACATTTAAAAAAAAAAAACAACGAAAAAACTATGCCAAAAAGGGGTGCCAAAGTTAAGAGAATAGAAACTAATAGTATCTGAATTGTTACAAGAGAGGCTTGGAAAATTCTGTATGGTTACTGTAAGAATGATGAAAAACCATAAAAGAAATCATAGCCAGAGTCAGAAAATGCAGTTTGCTGTTCCAAGTGAAACACATGCAGTACAGCATTAAATTAATTATCAACATCATCTTGGCTAAGTCTGTTTCATGTGAATGGATGCAATGTAATTGGAGATGACATTACTTTAAAGCTTTTGGAGTTAATCATCGCTTATTTTCTCTAGTAATGTAGTACTTGTGGGCTGCAGCCCACCATTGACCACAGAACCAAAGAGCTGTACCTGGCTGTGCTCTGACAGCGGCATTCCAAATCCTGGCTTACAATTAGTCCCCTGGAGTCCAGACAATACAAATCATGTTCAGAAACCTAGCCATGAACATACCTTTATCACCACAGCACAAAAAAGGTAGCACAGTAGAAAGAATGCTCAAAACATCTCCAGAATAAGAAAAATAAGCAAAAATCACAAATTGGAGTCAAGGAAACTCCATGCACTAGTAATTGTGGACTGACCTTTCAATGTCATTTGCTGTATTCAGGCACTTAACCTCTTTCAGAAATGCAAATTGTTCTTAATATATTTATTAAGAGCAGTGTAAAAGATTTAACAACACGTTCTGAAAATAGCAACACTTCCAGTTCAAAAAAATAGCACGAAACTAATTTGTTGTGTTATTACATATTGTGTTTACGTTCTCTCCTCATCCATAGCTGGAAAAAAGTTAATACCGATGATATTTTGTGAAAACAAACACTGTAAACATAGGTTTTGTATATACGAAGTGCTAAGAAACCAACCATTTCATTTCTTGTTAATGACAGTTTTTCCTCTTGATTTCAAGAGGGCAGAAACTTGCCTGGTCTGAATATATTGAAATGTCCCATTCATCAAGACTGATGCTATTTATCTGGAATACCAACGCTACATAAATCAAGAAAAAAATTGTCTTACCTTTGCCTGCTGCAGCTAGGAACAAATGAAGTAAAAGGACTGTTAGAACAATCCTGAATCTCAAGAAAATGTCCTGTATTCTGCCAACACAGCAGTGCTGTTTTCCCCAGGCAACCATTCTAAAAGAAAAAACAAATAAATAAACCACAGTGACTAGAAAAAGTGCAGGTGTGCAGTATTTATGACAAATTATATTTCCAACCCAAGAGTGTAAATCTTTTTAACCCTGTTATACTATTGGGTATACATCATACAGAAAGGCACAAACACTCTGTATGTTGCCAAGTCACCAAGAAAGAAAGAGATGTTTGCTGAAAGGAAGAAAAACAAAACAAAACAAAACCCCACTCAAGCTCTAATTCTCCAAAGACTCACAAATACATCAGAACACGCCCATGAGTCCTTGCACAAATAAGGCTTTCAACACTTGAAAAACAAACAAACAACAAAAAACCACACATAAAAAACCAAAACAAAACAAAAAAACCCAAAAGCAGCCAGAGAGCAAGCTTGGAGAGCTTATGCAAAAGCTTTGTTAATCTCAGTAAGTATATAGAAAGCATCTCTTCAGTCCCCTACCCACAGGTTCTATCACCTGACATTTTAATATCAATACTATGAACTCCTAAGGAAGAATCAAGAGTTTGATTCCCGATCCTCCCGATCCTCATCTTACTCTCAAGGCAAGAAGCTACTGCAAAAAAATGAGAAATGCCACAAGTTCATGGAGAGTACCAATGAAAACTTGGTTTGCTCACATTTCTTCCTAGTAGTGGTTGCCTAATGTGAGGAATAGGACATAGTGGTGGAAAAATAAAATGCCTCCTACTGGAAGAGACAATGTTCTGTGAAATGATACAGTTTTTTTAAAGAGATCTTTTCGAAAATGTGTATCTTCTGAATATTTTGCATGCTGCAAGAAATGTTAAGTGAAACATTCATGTGCTTTTTGCATGCATTATGTCTTAATTAAAAAGGTTTAGAGATACATAGTTACAAGTGATTCTATAATTGATGGTTGAAACAAATGCAAAGCAGTAAACACTATGTATTTTTTATCTTTAATGTATGTTTATCTTTTATGGTAGACCAGAGCATTCTGCATGACACCAGAAGTTTAAATTTGCCATCAGAAGTTCGATGAGTGTGTGAATGTGTTGGTGAGCACTCATACCACTCACAAACTTTACTGCACTTTTGTACACGCTGTATAAGGCTGCAATAGGTTCCCTTCTTTTCAGGCACTGTAAATTGTGAACTCTTTCTGGAGTCATAAATTCGTGTTAAGGTTACAGCTAAAATATATTTTTTGCAAGAATTCACTTTAATGTAAATATTTATTAGTATAAAATGGTTACTATGGCTGAACTCTCCAAGAAAAGTGCTAGAGTAATAAACTGAGAAACAGTAAAGTTACTGGGTAATTGACATTTTGGAAATTGATTAAATGCACATGCTAAGAAATTATACACATATAACATTGTAATATAGAAAACATAAAGCAAAGGCTTTTTAAAAATTTGAGCACTGCAACATGATTGCCAGACAGTGTTTTCAATAATTACACAGTATGCCTTATTTCTAGCAGAAAAATAAGATCATACTGATTGCATTGGAACAGACCCATCTGGATGATGGCGCATACTGCTTCCACTTTGCTGATTCCGGATGATACATTTAAAATTGAAATACACTAAGGAAATAACAATCAAACTGTGGCAACATCGTCAATGGCATCTGCATGGGTGCTGCAGATGTTAACCAGCAGGAAGAAAGGCTACTGACAAAAGGAATGCAAAAATCAAGCATACAAAAGCTGAGAGAAAATAAATGTTATGCTAAAACAATGGACATAGTTAATACACACAATCCTATGCAGGAACATACCAAAACCACACAAAGACAAGGAAAAAAAAAAAGCAAGAAATCCCACAGGCAGGCTAGCTTTCTGGAGATTCACAGGAAACATATCCAAACCTGTCTTGAGCTTGCTTCTCTTGAATGCCTTAAAACCATGTATTAATAAAGTTGTTCAGTCAGTAAACTAAGTAGCAGAACTACATTAATTATCCTAAGAACCTGACAATGAAAACTGTCATGAGTAAATATATTTGACAACTTCAAGGTTTGTGCATCAGCAATATAATTTACTGGGGTTAAAAGAGAGATGGCCATCCAAAAGTTGTTTCCTTTCTTTGTTTATTCACACTTCCCAGTCTAGTCTCAAATTAGGTCACTTCCAAGCAAAACCAAGCTGCACATCTATTCCTTCATTTTATGGGGAAAGCTCTTCTTTTTATCTATAGTGATGTATTTCTCCAACAAATCAAGCACAAATTCCAGCATCCCTTGCCTTTAGTACCTAGACATCGAGAGCTGAAATGTGAATGGGATGGAGCCCAAAACCACTCAGCGGCACTCACAAGTTTAGCCATCGATGCTGGTAAGTGCTGAAGCAAACTGCTTGCCCTGTCACACATTACACTGATTCAGTATGCTCCTACGTTCCCTGCATTTAGTTTCCACCTTAAGCCTCAGTTCTGCAAAGGGAAATATATGAAATGAGCTGAGTAGGACAAAGGTTTACTCCCGTACCATCAAGCATATTTGGTCTGATAGATCTCATTAGACAATCACCTTAGTGCCCCATCCACCAGAAATAACAACTGCATTCCAGGAGCCTAAATTTGAGGGCAGGAGCCAAGAAATACCTAGTTCTGACTCCAGCTCTGCCTGAGCACTATGTAGCCCCGAGGAGTTTGAACAGACCTTCCTCTAAATCTTTTTTAAAGATTTTTTTAAAGAAAAAGCAAGATGTACAGTATGATTTCATCCTATCTATTGAAATAACGATCATAGGATACATTCCAAAACATTGGGCTATTATGTGTCTATTAAATTTAAGTCCTTCTTTAAATTGGGATTCTAAAGCTCTACTCTTAATAATCATCCTGAAAAGCAATGTAATTGTAATATATAGTTGTGGACATTATAGAATTAGGCATAAGTAATTTTTTTCATTTGTTATTTTGTTCATGTGTTCAAATGAATATTTTTATTGTTCATTACAATAGATGAACACAGTATGACTCAGAGAGCTCAGCATGAATCTGCATAGTTTTTGCAGTACGATGAAAAATTTTCATTTGTCAATCAAGCAGATCTAATCAAGTACAACAGCTTCTGAGCACAACTGAACCACCCAAGTGTCAGAAAGAATTCTGTGCACAGTCTACAGGTAAAGATATAACTGTCTGTCTTTACTTTCTCACTTACTATTCTCAAATAACAATTGAGTCACTTTTATTTAGAAACAGCTAACTGTCTGAAGTAGAAGATAATAAATTACTTTTCTTTATGGCCAGTGGATAAAACAGAAATTCAGAAAATAGAAAGTAAGGGCTCAGGCATAAATCTGTTCCCTCTTTTTTGCTCTCCATTAAGGGAGCTCTTTTTACCAGTGACAACCCTGTAGCATTGGTACCCAGGTTTCACAACTTTTCACACCATGTCATTAATTAAAAATTGAAACTACAATTGATAGAACTTTTCTTAAATTAACAAACATACTTTGAAAAATTAGATGGTTGGTTTGTATGTTCTGTTATACATGTTGCAGCTCTTCTTTAATATCACGTTCTCTCGAAATTAAAGATGTTATTGGAAACAAAGACAGGAAGATGATATGGCTTGGACGAGGCTTGAACAAACTGGTCTAGTGGAAGGTATCCCTGTTGATGGCAGGGGGGCTGGAACTAGATGATCTTTAAGGTCCTTTCCAACCCAAACCATTTTATGATTCTATATAAAGAAGAGTTTGTATTCTTATAATTAGTATTAATTAGCTTATGTCATGCTATTTTATTAGTTTTTTGATGGAACTGTCCTTCAACACAATGGGAGTTTTACCTGCCTAAAAAGAACAGAGTTTCTGCAGGAGAAGTTACTGAAATCTAACAGGTTGACCAAGACAAACATGGTGACAAGGAGCCTGCTGCAGAAGGACAGGCAGAATGGAGGGATGAAGGTCAGTAAGCCAACAGCAACTTACAAGAGGAGGCAAAGACGACTGTTAAAACCAAGGCCTGTAAGCCTTTTACCATGTTCACTCTGCTGTACCCAGCTCTCTACCTCTGAAAGACGAGTAACATTAGTTGATGTTTAAAGCCCTTCCGCTAGCTAGTCAGTCACAGGCATCCACCGTGAAAGGACTTTGAGGTGAACCAGGAAACTGGGCTTGTGTTACAAACACAAATGGGAGGCAGAGGAGATGGAGTCTATGCCTCTGCAACGAGCCTCAAGGATGACTGCACGATGCAGCTCCACTTCAAGTGCAGTGTGAGAAATGTGGACTGTTTTCCAAGTGTGCACCCACGGGTGACATATCAAGAGATACAGGGCTTACCTTAATCCACTGCTTGCCTTGTTTTACAGTAGATATATTTTCAACAGGCTTAAAGCCAAAGAAAGTGCAAAACGTAAGTGCAGCTGCTCTGTACTGTAGTATATTTTGTTAAATCACTTTTTGAAAAATACATTCAAATTTTACAATTCCTGTTGAATATATCTATTTACTGGCAGTCTTTAAAATTTAAAAAACTATTAGTTCTTTTATGCCAAGTTGTAGCCAGAGCAGCTTCTCACTGCCAATGTATAAACTGTCAGTAACAGAAACATATGTTGGAAACTATGACTTCCAGCAATCAATCATTTAGTTCTCACTATGCAGTCTACTGCTGCATTTCAAGCTGTTTTGTTCAAGTCACACTTACTTCATCCATAGTATTTGAGGCTTATTTTGTCTACTTTTGTATTATCTCCTATTAAAATCTTGGATTTTAATTAAAAAAAAAAAATCCCGTATTTATAGAATTTACTGCTGAGGAGGGGGGTAACAACGAATAGTAAGCTACTGGCTGCTGTTCTGTGACAGTCGGCGTTACTGAAATCTATACCAGGTGATAAAAGGCAAATACTGCCCAAGTATGAGAACATCTTGATGCCTTTAATTACTTTCAGAAACATAACACTGTAGACTCCTTCCATCAGCCCCTTATATTTTCCAAACTGGAACCAAAATGTAGTAAAATTTTTATGTTATTTTTAAATTTTGTCTGA